TGACAATGACATGCAGGTGACATTTAACATGTGCGAGTGTGCGTCTCACTAACTTGCGTGTTTAATAATGTTTATCAAAGAAGGCAAAAATATATACAAGACAACCTCACATGTGGAATCTGTTCACTTACGCACTGCGTTGTGATGCAGTACAAGTACAAATACAAATGACAAAGCATTTTTAAAGGCTTTAAATCCTAAAACATAATTAAATCATACGGCACATTCAAGATTTTAATATCGTATTTCAGCCGCGTTTATACTGCTTGGCGCGCATTTGCTGCGTTATATTAATTTATATACCTATGTTATATACACAGATTTATTACTAATAAATCAACACTATATGATAATATATAAGAACTCACAAAGTGCAGTCACCTTTTTATAAATAAACCTTTTTAAAAGCATGTCATTGTCATTGCAGACCAGAGGCAAAAAGCACAGCCACATAGGCCTACCAGATTTATTAAGCAATCGTGAGATTATATACATGGAAAGAATATGGAAATTATGTTTAAAAGCACCCCGTATAATGAAGAAAGCACCGCGTATAATGCTCGAACCACTGCGTATAATGGCGAACGCACCGCGTATAATGGAGAAAACAACACGTATAATGCTCCAACCACTGCGTATAATCACAGAGTAGATAAGACATATGTCTCTACTCTGTGGTATAATCGACAAAATGCCGTTTGATCACTTACGCCAGCTATGGCTTTCCATAAAAGAAAACCAAAGATGAAAGATGATCACATTGCTTGTTTGCCTTATGCCTGTTTATTAGGCAAGAATAGCCTGCCGGCCCGGGAGCAGTGCATTGTGGTAGGCCGAAATACGCCAAAACGATCGAGATTTCATCTGCCTTATATATATATATACATATACATAAAGATTAGGACTGCTGCCTCGCTCGCTCGCTTCACGCTCGCTCGCTACGGCAGCAATTAACTTCCGGGTATTATTTCCGGTATAATCACATGACAACATTGTTTGAATTTAATTATTCAACACACAATTGGGAAGCCATGTTTGCAAGTTTATAACGTGTTCAAAATAGTGAAGTTCTTTAGTTCAGTTTAATCTGAATCTGAGTCAAATATAACCGCTGGTTGTGTCTAGTTCGGCGACTTCTGCTGGAAGAACAGGTAGCCTCATGAGGTAGGTCATTTTCGTCAGAAAATAAAAGGTCAAAATTTTCAAAATTTGTGAATTCCTCCATTTTGAAATTTTTTACAGCAATAAAGAAAATAAAATT